AACAAAATAAAAATAACAAACAAAATACAAATCAACAACAACAAAAACAACAGCAATGCGGCTACTTTCGATTGGGACCTCGGATGGAAATGGTTGGTTTTCTTCATCTTGATCAGTCCTGTCTAAGACGGCCACCTGTCTTATACGGCCACTTTTCTCATTGACAATGGGTGGCCGTCTTACACAGGTTTGACGGTATTTTTAATTTCATTTCAGGGGTTTGCATACACGCATAGTAACGCTTTAAAACGTGTGGTCTGCGTCTGGCAAGCATCATTTTCCCCCCTTCTCTATCCCGAAGCCACACTCAATGATTTGACAACATACCCACACACATGCACGACAGTCACCTTCTGTCTCAGAATAAGTCGACTAGTCGACCTACTTAGTTTATCCGCTGGCTTCAGCACAGAAGCCCCGCCCACATTTTGGTTGGTCGCTCACATTTTGGTTGGTTGCTCACATTTGCCGGTGTCGTGCCTTGAGTTTACCCCAGCCGTCTTTGTAGACGACCAAATTAATTTACTTTTGTGCTTTAACATCTTTTTTTATCTTTGTTTTTGTCAATTTGATCGTCCACACCGATAAGGCTGTCGTTTTCTCACCCGCGGTGAAAATAAAAATATAATCCGGGTGAGAATAATATTCATTTTATTCTCACCCCGGATGAAAATACTATTTTAAATTGTTTATTCTTACCCGGGGTGAGAATAAAATAAATATTATTCTCACTCGGTCTGAGAATGCAATTTTCTTAGGCCTTCCTGGGTGTTGAGAACGGGTAGGCCTACATGTAGGCTAATAGGAATAGGATGAAAGAAAATAATTTGTGAATTTTAAGAGTGACTGTTCGTGACCTGCCCTAGAGCGCTGGCCGATTTTTCTAGGCTCCAGCGGGGATTGTTATGAACTGAGCACGCTACTGCTGCCCACACTTTGTAAGACAGGCAGTAATAACTTGCAGGCGTCAGTAAGTTAAATTATTTTCCATGCAAATAACAGTTTGGTGTGCTTTTTCGTGTTTTGTTGGGTTTTTTTTTTACGATGTCTTTTGGAGTCTGTTACCACAGCTTAAAAAAATTATTTAAAAAAAAACCTCTTATGATAGAACAAATGACGATGACAATGAATTAAAATAAAAAAGCAAAGCTTCAGATTTTAAATTCTGTTGACTGTCAAGTCTCACCAACGGATAAGTCTATTTTCACCCCGGGTGAGAATAAAAATACGATGGACCTCTCACCGCGGGTGAGACTTGCCAGCGTTGGCTATTCTCACCAGGTGTGAAACAAGACCTGTTTTTCCTCATTTCTGAATACTATCTATCGGTGTGGATATCAAATTTACAAAAATAAAGAAAAAAATGATGTTATAGCACCTTTAAGTAAACTAATTTGTTCGTATACAAATGAAGATGCTTGGGCTATTTCACTTTTCGAATTGAGATGAACTACGTTGGTCATCATTTTGTTTTGCCCATAAGTTCTTGCAAGCCTACTCATTCTCCCTCTCTCTCCCTCTCTCTTTCTCCCTCACTCTCTCTCCCTCTCTCACTGTCCGTAGATAAAATTGCACGCTTTCAACACAAGAGCACTGAAATGTTTGTTTACACTGGTATCACGGTGAACACACACCGGATGAGAATAGCCAAAAGGCTCGCCCTCACACCGCGGGTTACAATAAAGGTGGTCCTCGCCAAATCAATGGTACATGTACAAAAAAAAACAAAACAATTTTATTGAGAACAAAATGTAGTTTTAGGGTGCCATTGAGAATTCATTTTCATACGTGTAGTCTGTAAGTGTCCATAGTGGTCACCTGTCTATAAAAGTCACTTTTGCTGTTATTTTGAATAACCGTTTTGGACATGTTCGACTGTATAGGGTATCAATTATTTCTTTCTTTTCCTTTTTTTTTTTCAGATGTTGGATGAAAATACACAACTTATTCAAACAATCAGTGACTACCAGATGAAGGGCAAAAACAACGAATGCATGCAGTAAGTGAACAATGTCAGAAGCTGATTTTGGTATTCTACTAACATTGGAAAGCCTCACATTGTTACACTTAACCCTCTCTGAATAGATTGGTACTTTTTTTTACTGGGGTGGGGGTGGGGGGTTCCAACCTATCCTATAACTCAAAATTTAACTGTAAAGGGGTGGGGGGGGGGGATTTTAATCGAGTATCTCGCTCCTTCCACTGAGACGAGGAATCCCTGTAAGTCTAAGCCGGGATTGGTTCTGGCAGTAAGGGTCCCTTGCCGCGCCTAAATGATCTAAATTGCATTGACAGGGGCGTAAATCCAATTAGTTCTTCTGTAACGATACGACGGTGCGGAGAGCTTTTAAAATTCTCAAAGTAAAATATTCTTTTTCAAAGATAATGACAACAGATGTTCGATAGGAAAGAAGGAGCAAACTACACCAGAGCACCCGCCAACCACCCACTATTACAGAACATTGCCTTAAACAGGTGGTTGTGAGAGCAGGTTTGACAGAGAGTGACACATCTAAGCGTCTGTGGCTGGTGCAATGGTTAGGCTGTTCGCCACAACCCGTGAGAGACAAGAGTTCGGGTCTACAGCCAGTGAGGAATCTATTAAAGAACCTGACAACTGTTCTAAAAGGTTAATGACATAAATTGCTGCTGCCACTCCAACCTAACCAGAGGTGGCAGTGAGGAGGAGCGGAGGAAACTCAAAGGTTTCTCTTTAATTAACCCTTTTTTCCTGCTTCGCTGTTGCCGGAAACCTATCTTGAAATCGAAATTTTGCACTGCCCCCTCCCTACCCACATAACCCAGCAACAAAAATAGACTCCCCCCCCCCCCCAACTAAAAACAAAAACAAAAAACTCAAAAACAAACAAATAAACCACACAAAAAACAACGAAGAAAAACGAAACAAAAACAAAAGCAAAAAAAAATAAAAAAAATAATAAAACGTTTACCTCTAGGCTATGCTCACATCAACATACGGAATACGGGAAGACATGGGTAAGGTTTAAGTTTGGTTTTTAGTAAGAGTCTTACGGCACGTGCAACACAATAAGGTCAAACAAGTGCCGAAGAATAGATGTGCTACTAGAGAGAAACATACACAAAAAAGGAGGAGGAGAGATAAGAACGACGGATGTTTGATAGGAAAAAAGGAGCGAACCACACTACAGCACCCACCAACCACCCATAGTCAGGTTTTAGATGCCCGATTCAGCAGATATTGGTTGTTTAAAGGGCTATATATCGACGTTCTGAGACCTGTTCGCGAGGAGATAGAAAGGGGGGGGGGGAATATGGGCAGAATTCTGGTCAGAGCTAGGAAGCTACATTCAGTCCACACGACGCAATCAGGCCGTGAGAGGCAAGCATGGAGAATTGGAGAATTTAAAAAAAGAGAATAATATAAGCGGGCGGTCGGCGGGTGGTCTGGTATGGTATCCTCCTTTGCTATCAAACATCTATTGTCCACATCTCTCCTCCTTTTATAAAATTGCTCTCTAGTAACAATCTCTACTTAATTATAATCCTCGGCACATATACGACCCAAATGTGTTGCACGTGCCGTAAAATTCATACTAAAACTAGTGCTTACAAAAATAGATTGTTTGTGTTGCAAGCACCGTAAAATTTTGGCTAAAATAAAAAAGCAAAGCTTATAAATAGACTGGCTGTACTCACCCAGATTCCTTCTGTGGTCCGTCGCCGGCAAAGCAGAGCCGACAACAATACACTTCCTTCTGCCTTCTGCCTCACTACCACAACGTGAGCATTTCCCCGCACAGACGGAGCACCTCATTGGCTGCGGCCGAACCTTACGACGCTGCCGATTGGCTGTTGCCCTCCGCGGCGCCGTTCAATACCGTGATGTAGCGGTGCGGCCGAGTATTGATTGGGATCTCATCATCGATACACTCCACGCTACGCCAGCCATCTCGGCTACAGGGACATCGGAGGGCAGAAAGTGGCGGGAGGGACACCGCTAGGAGCGACAGAACGACAAAGAATTAGGAGTCAAAGAAGGAATAAAAGAGGTTCCATTATCGTGAACAACCCCCCCCCCCCCCCCCCCCCCCCTTTCCCAGATCATTCACTCGGTTTGGAGCATTTGGGAGGCTGCATGGACCATGACTAAACTTGGATGAGGCACCGTTTGGAGCCATTGGAGCGACAGAGTGATAGAGAATTAGGAGTCAAAGAAGGAATAAAAGTGGATTGTTAACGTTCTGCTCTGGAGCATTTGGGAGGCAGGATGCATGGACATTAGCAAAACTTGGATGGGACACTGCTTGGAGCGATGGAAAGATAAAAAAAAATTAGGAGTCAAAGGAGGGATGAATAAAATGAATACTTCCACAATGTATACGTTCTGCTCCATCATTCACACGATTTGGAGCATTTGAGCGGCAGGTTGTGTGATCCATGGCTATCAGATATAGTTTGAGCTCACATGGATGAGATAAAGGCTTAAGACTCAAACAAGGAGCCCGCTAAACATTCTTCAATATCATTTACACAGTCAAAATAACATTTGAGTGTGTATCTAGCTTTCTATTATTATTGTTTATATTGCTGCTCATTTATATTATGCATGTGATTGTAAGCCTACGTGTGTGCACATGTGTGTGCGCATGTGTGTGTGTATGTGTGTGTGTGTAGGTGTGTGTGTGTGTGTGTGTGTGTGTGTGTGTGTGTGTGTGTACACGTGGTGAAAAACCAAACCAATGTGTCAGGATCTGGACAATAAAGATGTATCTTATCTTATCTTAAGAGCATTCAAGAGGTACGCTACATGAGCTTTGTCTTGTTTTCTTTGAGTAAAGAGAAGCACATCGACATTACGAACAGCCATTTAATGCTGGGAAAAAGTCAGAAAGTCAAAAACAGCACAGGGAAAGCAAAGATTAAAGAAGTAACAGGACCTACCACTGGCGCCCCCAACCACCATCACTGTCAGGTTTTGTTTGTGAAAAGAGAAGCACATCGATACAAAAATGGCTGTTAAGTGCTAGATCTCGGATGCCCTCACAAATAGAATGCCGCTACAAGCAACACACAAATCATCATCATCCAGTGCCAGATCTGCGACAGACATCGGCGATCATGGTTTAGTTTTCCATTCGTTCCTTTGCTCGGACGCTCTCAAAAAGAGGTATGTTTCCCTGATCTTACCCTGTTACCCATTTGTTTAGGTTCCCTAAGTATGTTGCTCTGGCCCTACCCCTGCCTCGCTTGCCCTCAATTTTGCCAGTGAGAGCTAGATGTTCAAGACCCTTATGTCTATTCAGGTGTCCCAAAAACTTCATTTGTCGTTTCTTCCACACAAATGGAGAACACAAAATTAATCAAAGAGGTAATTTTAAAAAAATGCTCCAAACTGAAAAGACTTCACGCTAACATTCACACAATAAGTGATATCGTTTAGAACTGGAGTCCTCCAGGTAAGAGACAACAGATCAAGGAGCAGGCCGCGTGGAACTTGGAGAAGTTTTGTTTTTGTTTTAGTAGAGGTTTTACGGGGTCATATGAGCGCCAGAAGATTAGAGGTGTTACAAGAGCGTAACAAACATAAAAAAGAAGGAGGGGAGATAAGGACGGTAGATGTTTAGTAGGAAAGAAGAAGCAGAGCACCCGCCAACCACCCACGAACTTGGAAAAGAGTCACGTAGCGAATGATGTACAGAAAAGCGAACAAGTATGGATTTTTAGTTTTAGTAAATGTTTTACGCAACTTGCAACACAAATAGGTCATATAAGGGCCGAAGATTAGCCGTATTACAAAAGAGTAACAAAGACGGGGGGAGGATACGGACGATAGATGTTTCATAGAAAAGAAAGGAGCAAACCACACCAGAGCACCAGCCAACCACCCATTTAATGCAAAGATTATAAAAACTTCCCCAACAGGAAAGAGACAAACAAGTAAAAATTCGCGTTAGTTCAAAGGTTTTTCCATTTTGTTCCAAGCCAAAACTCACTTTCAACAAACACTGCTGCCGGCGACAGTGAATTGTGATGCACAGGGATACAAACAGGTATTGGGAACTTGATAAAAGTTGAGAAAATAACCCAATGGGTCAGAGAAATAAAAGACACAAGTACGATCGTTTTGAGGAAAAACAAAACAAGTTTAGTTTTAGTAAGTGTTTTACGGCACTTGCAACAAAATAAGGTCATATAAGTGCCGGAGATTAGAGGTGTTACAAAAAAGAAATAAACACAAAATAGAAGGAGGGGAGATAAGGACAATAGATGTTTGATAGGAAAGAAGGAGCAAACCACACCAGAGCACCCGCCAACCACCCACAAAAACAAAACAAACAACAACAAACAAGCCAAAAAAAAGAAACACACACACAAACGAACAAACACACATAATCATACACAAACACGCACAACAACAACAAAAACAACAACAGGTGGACTTAAAACGTGACATGCAAATTATGCATTGTACAATGGAGTTCGCTAATTTGTAAGGTCCATAACCCTGATTTAATGCTATCGTGCTATTTCATACAAATGTTATGCTATGTTGTCTCCCTTGACGTGTGTCGTTTTGACTTTAAAAACCCAACATTTTTCATTTTTTAAAGGAAACTGACTTGGCCAACTACTCTCCGGTATCGAATAAAAGGGTGGGTGGGGTGG